CTACCCGGTGTCCCTCTCTTGTCACCTCCTGTCCCTCTCTAGGACTTGACCCCCACCCTTCTCTCACTCACACGCTGTCTCTCCCTGCGTGTGTCTTTCTCTGCCTCTCCCCCCAGACCCTCAGGCCCTGAGCTCAGGTCTAGCCCTGTCCAGGGCCACAGGGCCACAGGGCCACATCTCTCCCAGCCCTCCCACCCTCACAGTGAAGTTCCAGCCCCAGCCCTGCTCACAGTGGAGGAGCCTGGTTACGGAGCTGCTCCTGCTGGCATTTACTGCTGCATCGCTGTTCCCCCCACCTCCCGGGCAGTGCAACAGTCTCACCTTGACCTGTTTGTGGCCCAGACTGGACCCCAGAGCTGCTGCAGGGCTGGCTGCCTCCCCCACCTGGAAGGAGGGCCCCGTGGGCTCCAGGGACAGCTGGCACAGAGTGGAGTGGACTCTTTCTATACCCAACACCTTCTCCCTGGCAGTGGTGGCGCCCCGCCCACCTCAGAGTCAGGAGGCTGTGGGAGGATGAATGGCGCTCACGGGGCTCACTGAGAGCACTGTCGCCCTCAGCCCCCCTCAGGGTCTGCCTGGAGCCGGGGCTGCCAGGCAGCTGACGCGGGGCGGGGGCACGGGCCTGGTCAGTGCAGGGCCTCTTGCTGGACGCCCATGGCCCCCCCCTGCACCTCATCCTTTCCTCACCATGAGACACGGCCACTTCATTCTGGTCTCACGACCAGACACCCCTGTGACAGACAGGCCCCACATGCCCAGTGAGTGTTTACAGACTGAAGCAGCACAGCCATCACTAGATCTAGACACAGGCTGTACCCAACAACCAGGAGGAGCCCTGGGGCCCCTGTGGTCACTGCTGCCCTGAAGGGGTAACTTTTCATCTGCCCTGTCATCTTAGTTCCTGCTGGTTTGTGAGTTGTGTGCCCGTGAATCACTGCGTGCCCTCAAGAGGGTGTGACCACTGATCCTCCAGGAAGCAGACACTGACACAGAGAGAACGGTGACAGATTCATTAGGGGTGACAACAGGAGAGACCAGAGGGGGCAGCAGGATGGAGTAGGAAAACATTTGGGCCTTAATGCACCTCTGACATCTCTTAACACG